TTCAAGTTTTGTGCAAAAACGCATGATCGCTCCGGCTCGCCTGGTGCGTTCCAGCCTAGGTTTTACTGCCTCCTATTGGCAATGTACATCTTTTTCTTGCGGCTTCATGCGGGTTTTCCGCAATACTCCCCCCACAGAGAGGTTGCAGCCTATAAATTCGCGATGAACTTCGCCACAAGTGGTGCTTGCTGACTTGATTAGCTCCTTTCCCAGCTTGTGGCACCATGTCCCGAAAAGATAGTATACACTTTTTTTTTGTGCCGGCTTCTTTATTAGCTTTTCACAGGTTTTTCGCAACTTCTTCCGCTGTTGGTACTCCACACAAATTTGGCAACTGTGGATATTTCGCCACAGATTTGGCCCTTGCTTTGGATTTTTTCCTTTTAAATCCGGGGGTCCTACTTGGAAACAGATGTCTCTTTCCTCTTAAAACACTAGCGTGAATTCTGGAATAAAACATCTCACTGTTAATCTTGAATTTTATTCCCGACGTCGAGATAAGCAGTGGTTTTCGTTTTACTTAATTGCTTTATTAAAAAAGATGAATACAAGCTGAGTCCTCTGAGTGTGAAACCTTGTAGTACTAACTTTCCACCAAAAATGAAAATTCATCAACACGCTAAAACAGCAATTCTTTCCCGAATAATAAAAATATTCAAACACAAGTTAACTGTTCTTCATTTAAATGTTGGTCTACATACTCTGGAAAATTCGCTAAACTTATTGCTGTTCACATTAGGATAAGCATTTTTACAGTTTTCAACATTTTTGGTTTCAGCAAATTTCCAAACATCGGAGAATATCGAAAAAAGCAAAACCGACAACCCAGATGCCATGGTCAGTTGATAGCTTTAGTTGCACGAATTTTTACGCCTGAAGCAACTTCCTTTATGCATTTCGGAACCATCGCTTTTTGCATGCTTTGTAAAAATGTTAATATGCTTCTTTTCCTACCATTTACATTTTCATGATCACATTCTGGAACAGCTGTTTGAGGGAACTGATGGCGATCTTAAATCGAGCCGGGGTGAGTCGCTGGGTAGGGATGAAGAGGCTGCTGCTAGCGAGGCAGCGCTACCAGCTGAAAATGCAGTTTCCACGTCGACAGCGGATATTAATCCAACGGAAAATGTGGGCAATATGAGACAGGTATAAGCGCTTTTTCAAGCCCATGTGTAAATATTTAGAGTCAGTGACGATGCTGATTGTCATTTCGTAGGCAAATTATTTATGAACCAGAGCTCGTACATCAAAAACTAATCCATCCATGAATTTGTTTCAACTCATATATCCTAGCACATTACGGATTAAACGTATCTATCACTTATCCTTAAAGTAGTCCACAAATGAGTGCACTGGTCAGCATGTTATTAACAGTGTTGTAAAAGTGCAGTGATTTGTTCACTGTGAAGCACAGCTGGTCCCCGAATTTTCCGTTATGATAATTTAACGTGAAAGTGGGGAAGTATTGGCAATATCTGTAAGGCTTTGAGAGAAATATTAGAATCTTTTAAATCATCACCCTTTGCAGTTATTTAATTTGTGCCAGAGTTGCTTTCCTTAATTTTTTACTACACCTGCCCTTCTTTTCACCCCCTCCCGTTCCGCCCTAGATAAAACTTCTTTTATTTATATTTCGTTGACAGGCGTGATGCATTGACAAGTAGTACCACTCTCCAGTTGAAATTCAAGAGTCTAACTCTGGCACTGGGAAAATCATTCACAATTACTTTTTTTAAAGGCTCTGAAAGAGACTGCATATTTTGAAGTAAGCGAAATGAAAAAAAAAAAAAAA